GCCCTGAGCACTGTCAAGTGTGGCCACAAAACTAAATTAAATATAAAACTATAAGTTTTTTAAAAGAGGAGAAAATAGGGGCCTGAGCAATACTACAGCAGAGAAGGTTCTTGCTTTGAACACGGCCACCCAGGTTTGATCCCTGGCATCCCAGATGGTCCCTGGAGTCTGCCAAGAGTGAGTCCTCAGCGCAGAGCCAGGCGTAACCCCCGAGCACTGCCAGTGTGGCCCAAAAAGTAAAAAAAAAAAAAAAAAAAAAAAAAAAAAACGGAGAAAATAACATTTTATAGTTTTCTCATGTTCCAGTTTTTCTGTAATAAACTTGACTTTTTGACTCAAAGTTACTATGGTATCAATTAGAAACCTGGGGCCAGGGATATAGCACAGTGGATAAGGAACTTGCTTTGCATGGGGCTAACCTAGTTTCGATTCCCTGGCATCCTATATGGCACCCTGGGCACTGCCAGGAGTGACCTAAATGAAATAAATCTATGAGGCCATGATAGTGCACTGGGTAGGGCATTTGCCTTGCTTGAAGCTGGATACCCACGCCCCCACCTCATATGATCCCCCAGTCCTATCAGGAGTAAGTCCTGAGCATTTCTGGGTATAGCACAAAAAGAATGTGTATCTGCTTATCCATAAAATACTTGTTTTTAAAAACTAACCCACAAAAAAGCCATAGTGATGCCATGTTAATATGACATAAATCAGACAAAATCAAGATTTCTCTTCATTCCTTTATTGGGTGGTTTCAGAAAGTTAAAAAGCCAGAATTGATCCCTGAACCCATGCTTGCCAAGTAAGCACATGACCAGAGTTACATCCAGCCTCAAGATTTCCTGATTTCTCCTTGTTGCCCAGGACGCAAGGGCCTTCTGCATCGAGCCAAGTGCTTCCTGCTAAACTCCAGCATAGCCCTTCAAGTTCTTTTTTTTAGGTTACATTCATTGCAAACACAACAAGCAGGTCAGTCTCATCTGAAGAATGACCTGAGTGAGTTACCTTAGTCTGATTCATCTGCAGGTGGAATCTTACTGGAATAGTATGATCACGACCATCACGACCATCCTGTTATTCGTCGATTGCCTCAAGCAGGCCCCAGTAACGTCTCCTTCGTCCTAGCCCTGAGATTTTTAAAAAAGTGCCCTATTCAAGGCTCTTTCAGAGTTAGGAGAATGAGACCCTTCATCGTTACTGGTATTTGGCGTATTGGGTACGCCACGGGGAGTTTGCCAGACTCTGCCGCGTGGGCAGGTGACATTCGGCAGCCTGCCAGAATAGTAAGATAGTGATCAAAGACTCCTCCTTACTAACAACTCTGAGCTAAACACATAAGATGCCCCAATGGGGACACTGCGGGGGAAGGAGCCTCCCCAGCCATGCTCAGATTGCCTGGGAGTCACTACCAGAGACACTTGGCCGGGCAAGATGGGAGACACTTGGGTCCAGTGCTGTGGTGACCATGTGGTGCCCAGAATGGGCTTCCAGCCTCTGCAGGCTGGTCCTGCGTTCCTGGATCCCTTTGTGTTTGGACCTCATTGGTCCAAAGACAGGTTACTTTCGTTTGTTTCTGTTTTGTGGGGCCACACTCGGTGATGCTCAGGGGTTACTCCTGGCTTTGCACTCAGGAATCACTCCTGGCAGTGCTTGTGGGAACCAGATGGGGTGCTGAGGCTGGAATCAGGCAGGGTTAGGAAAACGCCCTCTGCCCTGGACTGGCCCTGGCTTCCAGGTTACTTGTTTTTGTTTTTCTCTTTGTTTTTGGATTTTGGAGCCATACCCAATGCTGTGCTCGAGCTCCGCCCAGCTCTATCCTGGAGGACGTGCTGCTTTCAGTCACAAACTCAGGCTGGGCTGTATGCAAGGGCCAAGGGCCAGATTGCCTCTGACCCCAGTGTCTAAGTGAGCACTGTGTCAAAAATGTGCAAGCACTAGACCTAGAGAGCCACCCTCTGAGAACACGTGTGTAAACACAACAGTCAACCCCAGAAGCCACTAACAGCAAACACGAGTGAGCACCGTAACGAGGACCACATGTGTCCAAGCACTGGAACTGAAGAATTGGCCAGTGCAAATAAATGTGCCAGCAGCACAGCCAGGCATGTGACCCCGGGTCATTGCAACAACTGCAAAAACATCAACGGGCAGCGGTGGAGAATCCATTCCAGTAACTTTTGCCCAATACGTTCACTTTGCCAATATAATGATGACGCCTAAGAACAAAATATGGTTTTTCCAGAGAGCTAGTACAAGGTGCTTGCCTTCCATGCTGCTTATCCCAGTTCCATCTGTGGCACCACAAATAGTCCCCTGATACCTATCTATCTCGGTCTCTTCCTCTCCCACTTCCTCTCTCTGTCTCTCTGAATCGCTGAGATTTTGGGTCACATTAGGAGGTGCTCAGGGCTTACTTCTGGTTCTGTGATCAAAGATCATGCCTGGTTGGCTCGGAGGATCATATGGGGTACCAGGTATCAAACCTGAGTTGACCACATGCAAAATAAGTGTCCTATCTGCTATAGTATCCCTCAATCCCTGGTCCCCTGATCTCTGAGCAGAGACAGGACTGAGCTCTGAGCACTACTGGGTGTGCCCCCAAAACCAAAAGAAAAGGGAAGAAAGTAGTGCTTATGCAATCATAACCAGTAGGCAGAAATAAGTACTAGTAATCCCTACACCAACAGTAGAATTTGACAATGCCCACACTTGCCTGCCAGCCACACTTAAGTTTACAGAAAATTTACTTTTAAAGTCATAAGCCTATTTGACTTTTAAATTTATCAGCTTGATCTCTGGTACCCCCTATGGTCCTGAGTCCACCAGGAATAATCCCTGAGTGCAGAGCCAGAAGTCCTGAACACCACTGAGTATGCCTGCCCAAAATAAGTTTGTGTGTTGTGGGGGGGTTATTGGTTGTTGACTGGAGACTCCTTTGATTCCCAACACAACATATGCCCTCTGTGTCACATAAGGAATGATTCCTAAGCACAGAGCCAGGAGTATTCAGCCAGGTTAATCTCCCATCCCCAAATCCATGTATGTAATGTTAGGAACTAGAGAGATAGTTCAACATAATCACACAAATCACAAATCATCCTGTTATTCGTCGATTGCCTCGAGCAGGCCCCAGTGACGTCTCCTTCATCCTAGCCCTGAGATTATATTCAAGGCTCTTTAGGAGAATGAGACCCATCATTGTCACAGGTATTTGGCATATTGGGTACGCCACGGGGAGTTTGCCAGACTCTGCCCTGTGGGCAGGCTACATTCGATAGCCTGCAAGTTTGTCCAAAGTAGGAATGAGATAATAAGATGTCATAATAAGATGTCGCGTGGCCGCAAATGCGGCCGCGCGGTTCCGGGAGCTGGTTTTTATAGTCTCTGAGTCTTGGCCGTTGATGGGATTACAATGCACCAGGGGGCCAGTTGGTGGGTGTGACCCCCGCCTACTGGAATTTGGAGGATCTGGGTGGAGGATGCTCGGCCCAAATCCGAGTAGGCTTGGAGATCTCGGCCCCGGAACCCGCATGACTTTGTCCCTCTGCCAGTACCTTCATGTGTGCGGAAAGTGGTCTCAGCATGGTGGTGGCTGGTCCTGGAGGTCTTTGGCTGCCAGAGCCCTGCTCGGGGCGGAGAGGAAAGCTCAACCCGCTCCCCTCCAAGGGGCCCCGGCGAGGACAGCCAGGCGCGGGGGCAGGAGACTGCACTGTTCTCTTCCAGGAGCTGGTTTTTATAGTTCAACATAATGAGGGTATGAAAAGCATGTGAGGAAGGCCAGGGCCACTCCCTGACACCACATGTTCTAGAAGCATCACCAGGTGTGCCCCTTAACCCCCAAAGAAAGCAAACTGAACTTGAGGGCACTAGAGAACACTCAAGGATTCGATCCTCAGCAAATCATACGATTCCCTGAGCATTACCAGGAGTCATACCTAAGTTATTACTAAGGAGTAACTCCTGAACATCACTGAATGGATGATCCAAAAACCAAAGTTGTAATAATAACAATAATAGACTAAAAAGATAGTATAGGGGTTAAGATATCTTTTTTTTTCTTTTTTGGGTCATGTTCAGCGATGCTCAGGGGTTTCTCCTGGCTCTGCACTCAGGAATCACTTCTGGTGGTGCTCAGGGGACATATGGGATGCTGGGAATCAAACCCGGGTTGGCAGCGTGCAAGGCAAACGCCCTACCCGCTGTGCTATTGCTCCAGTCCAAGGGTTAAGATATCTTGCATCTGGGACCAGAGCGATAACACAGCAGGTAGGGCGTTTGCCTTGCACACGGCCAACCCGGGTTTGATTCCCAGCTTCCCATATGGTCCCCCAAGCACCACCAGAAATGATTCCTGAGTGCAGAGCCAGGAGTAACCCCTGAGCATTGCTGGGTGTGACCCAAAAAAGAATAAATAAATAAATATTTATTTAAAAAAAGATATCTTGCATCTCATCAACCCTGGTTTGAATTCCTGGCACTCCTATGGTCCCCCAACAGTGACAGAGCCAGGAGTAGCCCCTGAGCACAGTTGGGTGTGGCTGAAACACACCCACCCCCACCCCATCCCTCTCTAAACCAACACAAGGCCAGAGACGTAGCACAATAGTAGGGATGCCTGGCATGTATGAAGCCCTGGGTTCATTCCTTCCTGGTACAGCAAAAAAATACAGAGCTACTTAGCTAACTAGCCTAGAGCATCAATGCATAAGACAAACCTTAGGCAGAGCCAGAGTCTTCGAGACAGAAGCTGAAGAGCACATAATCCTTAGGGCCGGGGAAATGGCTCAGAATACCGGCACAGGGGCTCTGTATGTGGGAATCCTGGGTTCTAGCCCCGGCACCAGGTTTCACCCTGACACAGCAGGGAGACACCCGAGTACCAAGCCGGGAGTAGGGTCTGAACACTGCTGGGCGTGGCCCCCGTGCAAATAACACCACAAATTCCACGCGCGCCAATCTACCAAGTCCACCAGCACGGCAGACCCTGAGTGGTCACTCACCTCCAAAGCCCCCGTGAGCGAAGGTTTCTTTTTCAGCTCTTCGCATTTTCTCTTCTTACAGATTCGATGGCTGTTCTTCCTGTTCTGGCAGTAAGTACACTCACCACAGTTGACCTTCAGCTGGCAGGGCTCGCAGACCCCACATCGCTTTCTTTTTTTCTTTTCCAAGGGTGGCCCAGCGGCATAGGAAGGGAAAGCGGCTGTCCTGGCAAGTGACCCTGGTGCGGACCCCACTGTGGTGCTGGAATCAGCCAGGCTCGTCCCAGCAACGAGGGAGCTTCCTCCTTCCGAAGTGCGGGGACCAATCTGGGGAGGCTGAGAGTTCTGGTGGAAACCGTTCTCAGCTTCTATCAGGAACCCTGGAGTATTCGGCGGCAGGAAACTCCCGGGAAGCTGCTGCCCACAGTCTTGATTGCCTGTGGCTCTAACTGGAAGTTCTGACCTGATCTCTGGCCTGGACGAGGGCTCAGGGGTCTGACTGGGGCCCAACGTTAAGACTGGCAGAGCACACTGAACCTCCAGCCCGTACGGAATCACGCTCTGCGGCTCAGGCCATGCTGGGAGGGTTGGAAAGGCAGGAACTGGGTTTAGAGGGGCGGGAAGAAAGTTAGGTGGGGCTGAGGCAATCCCCCCGCCTACATCAAGGATCGGTTGATCTAGGATAGCACCAAAGACCTCTTCTTGGACGGCAATAGCACCGGGGAGCTGAGCAGGGCCTGGGGTCGGACCCAGAGCTGCTCCGGGAACTGTGTCAGCACCAGGAATTGCCCATGGGTGTGGCAGATCACGGAAGGCCTGTTCCGGGACAGGGGTGGAATGTGGAACGTCCTGTTGCCCCGGGGGAGCCTGGAGGATCCCTGGGTGAGCTGGTTCGTCTCCCACGGCTTCCTGCTTTGCACTGTTCAAGAGGAGCGTTATTAATGAGGTAGGATATATTGACCCACCCGCAGACAAACAGTCCTGCAGGTCCAATTCAGGGACCATGTCATTAAAGCTGGAGGTAGGGCAGCAATTCTGTTCACTTTCCATGGGACCCAGGGAAGAGTCAGATAGCTTGAGAGATTCCACCCGGGAGCCTAAATCTTCTAGCTGATTGCTTGGGTTTTCTTGGGAGGTAACCTGGAGGGCTGCTCTTTGGATCCAAGGAGCACACGGGGTGTCCTGGGCGAACATTCTAGAGGCATCACTGACATCAGTCATTATCTCTTTGGAAAACAGTCCTTCGTTGGCCGGCGTCTTCCCCAGTGACTCCGAGAGAACCCCTGCTGCAGGGCCACTGAGGGTGGAGCTCAGGATTCTGGAATCCTCGACCTCCGGGGCCCTTGAGAGGATGGCATCTTGACTCTCACCTTTGCTTAGAGATGCATTTGGAACGAGACTTTGATTCTCTGGCTCGGGAGGAACTGCAGGATCTTGCACTGGGGTGGAATCCTTCTCTGGGTGTTTGACTCCCGAGCCAGAAGGGACCTTAGGTTGCTTTTCTGTGTTCTTTGGAGGTGGGACTTTCTTGGGTCTGACCACGGGGGGCTGGGAGAGCCGTCTGCTGAGCGAGGTGCTGCGAAGAGCCATTGTAAATCCATTGCAGGTTAAGGACTCGGGGTTCTGAAACAGAACCTCGGTCCGATCCAGATTCATTCGCGCTGCTCCAGCTCGAGTCAGCAGGCTTCTACTGGGCACCAGTGGTTTCGTTTCGGTTTTTTTCTTGCCATCTCTTTCATGAATGGACTGCCTCGATTTTCCAGGGGTAACAGTCTTTCCTGAGGCCACATTTTTATGAATGGGCTTGGAGGCCTTCTTCTTCAGTTGGCTGTTTTTCTTTTTGTTGAGGTCTTCCTTCCGGACTGATTTGGAAGACTTGGCCTGGCGGGAGCGAGACATGGCTTTGGAGTAAAAAAAAGTGGAAAGGCCCAAGGTACAGAATCATCGGTCCTCTGGAAAGTCTCACTTTGGAGGAGAAAGTGGGTGCAGCATGGCTGAACTCAGTCACATGAGGTCTTGGTCTGAAATACCAACAAAAATAGTTCACATCAGTCTTTGTCCCTAAATATTCTCACACTGGGAGCCAGATTATAGTACAGTGGGTGGGGCACGTGCCTAGCATGCGGCTAATCTGGGTTTGACTGCAGTCATCCCAGTGTCCCCAGAGCACTGCCAGGAATAATTTCTAAGTACAGAGGCAGAAGTAAGCCCTGAGCATGCACATACACACACACACATACACACATATGCCACCCCCCCCCCACACACACATTCTCACATTTAAAATACACTTTGGGAGCTGGAACGCTAGTACAGCAGGTAGGGCGTTTGCCTTGCACGCAGCCAACCCGGATTCGGTTCCCAGCATCCCATATGGGCCCCTGAGCACCGCCAGGGTTGATTCCTGAGTGCAGAGCCAGGAGTAACCCCTGTGCATAGCCGGATGTGACCCAAAAAGCAAATTAATTATTTAATAAAAAATATATAAAATATATTTTGTGGGGCTGGAGAGATAGCACAGTGGTTAGAGCATTTGCCTTGCAGATGGCCGACCCAGGTTCAATTCCCAGCATCCCATACGGTCCGCCGAGCACCACCAGGAGTAATTCCTGAGTGCAGAACCAGGAGTAACCCCTGTGCATTGCCAGGTGTGACCCCCCAAAATATACATATATGTACATACATATTTGTGTGTGTGTGTGTGTGTGTGTGTGTGTGTGTGTGTGTGTGTGTGTGCTAGCAATTATTATAAGGAACTGAGTTGGACTGTTTACAGCAAGGGGAAAATACAACTGGCACATAATTACTCAAGTATCCCATAAGCACTGGATTCAAAATTAAGCCATTTTTATTTGATTTTATTTGGCGCTGAGACTACTCCCAGCAGTGTCCAGGGGTTACCAGAGACACCCCAGGTGGTGTCAGTTCTTGAGTCCTGGCCTCCTACCGCTTGAGCCACGTTCCCAGCCCCACAATAAAGCTCCCGCAATTACTGTCACAATGTATTTAGTCGAAGACTTTCCTAATTACTTGTGGGATGGGGGATTGAGGGGGCGAACAGAAGCACACCCAGCAGTGCTCAGAAGTTACCACCGGCTCTTGTGTTCAAGAGTCAGTGCTGTTGGCTTCAGAACTGTATGTAGTGGCCAAGGATCAAACCCAAGTCAGCCGCAGGCAAGACGGAGGCCTCAATTCTTAGACTGTCTCTCCAGACCCTTAAGATATTTTTGCTGTTGATTTTATTTTGGGCTGGAGCGATAGCGTAGTGGTAGGGCATTTGCCTTACGCGCAGCCGTCCCGGCCGCGCCGGGTTCGATTCCTCCGCCCCTCTCGGAGAGCCCGGCAAGCTACCGAGAGTATCTCGCCCGCACGGCAGAGCCTGGCAAGCTCCCCGCGACGTATTCGATCTGCCAAACACAGTAACAACAAGTCTCATGATGGAGATGTTACTGGACCCACTCGAGCAACGGGGAGGACAGTGACAGTGATTTTGTTTTGTCATCACACCTGACGGTGCTTTGGGTTTACTCCTGGCTCTGCACTCAGAGATCACTCCTGGCAGGGACTGCGGGACCTGTACACCGGGGTGCCAGAGATCAAACCCAGGTTAGCAGCATGCAAGGCAAGTGCCTGACCTGCACAACTCTCTCTGAACCCTGAAGCATTTTAAAACTAAGCGGAGGTGGGCGGGGTGTGGGGGTGAGGAGGAGATTCTGTTTACATCATTAACTAACATTACTGTAATCACATGTACTTTAAGGCCAATGTCCAACTCTGCATAAATGTGAATATTTTAACATTTATGTCTTATGGTACAGGAGGTAGGTGCTTGCCTTGCCAATGCCGAGCCCCGCACTGCATATGCTCATTCCTGAGCACAGAGAAAGGAAGAGCCTCTGAACAGGGGTGGCTGCTCCCCACCCCTATTATCTCTTCATCTCTTTCCTAGGCATATCAGCAGGCAGGCCGAGTATCATCTCTTTGAAAGTAAACCTGGTCAAGAGGCTGACATACTCAGAAACACTCTCCCACGTCGAGATCAGATCCCACTAATGCCATGTTCCAACGAACAACGCACAGAACTTGAAGCTCATTTCATCTTGAAATCACCCACATCCCAGGTTGCCGAGTGTGATTCCTTCTTTTTACTTCTTCTCGCCAGTAAACCCAGCACTGTCTCGTGAACATGCTGCCTTTTTTATCCTCCTCATTAATCTTTTGGGTTTTTTGACCACACCAGGCTGTGCTTGGGGCTTGATCCTGGCAGAGCTGAGGTTAGCTATGGGCAAGACAAGTGCTTTACCCTCGGTACTAGCTAACTTCATGCTCTCCCTCACTCTTCCTCCACCCTTTTTTTTTAAAATGCCATGCCCAGAGGTGCTCAAAGCTGACTTTTGGCTCTGTGCTCAAGGATCACTCCTGGCAGGGCTTGGGGGGACTGTATGGGGTGCTGGGAACTGATCGCAGGTCAGCAGCACGCAAGGCAAGTGCCCGACCCACTGTACTATTTCTTCAGACCTGCTCTCTCCCCTTTTCATAAAATTTCTTCACTTTGAAAAATAAATAAAAATCACAAAATTTGAATTTTTTACATGGACACAAAAGTAGCCTAAAATAGACTTGTTTCTTTAAGTCCCTATTCTCCCTTGAACAAGTAACTCACTCATTTGCCAGTTTCTTCGCTTGCTCTTTCCACTCCAGAGAAGTCTGTGTTCTCACAAATAGGTTCTTCTCCCTAACTCTTTCTTTTCAATAAAAAATATCTTGCTTAATAAAAAAAAAAAACAGTAGACTAAAATAGATGCGCAGTAACCGTACATCAAGATCATAAATATCAACACAATTGTAAACATGTCATGTTAACTACAACAAAAAGTTTTTTTAAAAAAATCATAAAAGGGGGACCAGAGCGATAGTACAGTGGGTGCTTGGATGCAACTGACCCGGGTTCGATTCATGGCATCCCATATAGTCCCCTGAGGACTGCCAGGAGTAATTCCTGAGTGCAGAGCCAGTAAGTCCCAAAATGAAGAAAAAAAAAATACCATAAAGGGGCTGGAGTGATAGGACAGCAGGTAGGGCACTTGCCTTGCACACAACTGCTCCGGGTTCGATCCCCAGCATCCCACACTGACCCTTGTGCCCCACCAAGGCTAGTTCCTAAGTGCAGAGCCAGAAGTAACCCCAAGCATTGCCAGATATGACCCAACCCCCCCACCAAAAACAATCACGAATAATAAAATATTATTAGACTCATCAAAGATCACAGAGTCAAGAGTATGGCAACAGGAACTGATCAGTGGTGGAAAGCACCAGACTTGCAAAAGTGATGACGTGAGTAGGTCCCTCTTACCACCCACGCACACTGAGGAGTCCTGGGGGGTTCACAGCACCCTCAACAGCCCCTCCCCCGTGACCTGCTGAGCACTGTCAGTACCAAAGGGCAAACACGGCAGCCAGCACAGCCTCCATGAGCATCCAGAATGTTCATCCCGAGCATCACATGTGCCAGAGCCACATCCGTGAGTGTTAGGCCTCCCATCTGGCTCCCTGAGCACCGCCAGGAATAATCCTGAGTGCAGAGCCAGGAGGAACCCTCCCTGAGCTTTGTTGAACATGGTCCCCAAATCAAAAATAAATACACAAAAATAAAGCCTTTTTTCCAAAGTCAGAGAGAGATGCGCCAGTACGGCAGACAGAGTGATTGTCTTGCACACAGCCAATCTGAGTTCAGTTACAACCCTGATTCGATCATATTGGGGGTCTGGAATGAACCCAGGGTTGGCCAAGTGAAAGGCAAAAGTCCCATTCACTACTGCTCCCAGTGGAAGTTTTAAAAAATGTTTTTTTACCCAAAAGGAGAGAGAGAACAAAAGGGAATACCCTGGGGCTGGAGCAATAGCACAGCGGGTAGGGCGCTTGCCTTGCACGCGGCCAACCTGGGTTCGATTCCCAGCATCCTATATGGTCCCCCAAGCACTGCCAGGAGTTAATTCCTGAGTGCATGAGCCAGGAGTAACCCCTGTGCAATGCCGGGTGTGACCCAAAAAGGAAAAAAAAGAGAGAGAATACCCTGCCACAGAGGCAGGGTGGGATGAGGGGAAAGGGGGTGGGAGGGATACTGGGACCAATGGTGGTGGAAAATGGGCACTGGAGGGATGGGTGTTTGATCATTGTATAATTGAAACCCAAGCACAAAAATTTGTTAATCTACAACTATACCTCATGGTGTTTCACTAATAAAAATTTTTTTAAAAATTTTTTTAAAATTTTTTTAAAAAATGTTTTTTTATAGGCTGGAGCAATAGTACAGTGTGGGTAGGGCATTTGCCTTGCATATGGTCACCCCACCCCTATGGTACCCTGAGCCCAGCCAGGAGTGATCCTTGAGCAAAATATGAGCTAGGCATAAGCCCCCGAGTGACTGGCATGGACCAAAGTCATAAATAAATAAATAAACAAACAAACAAACAAAAAATAAATTGCTGTTTGTAACTTCCAAATACAAAAGAGAGGGGCTGGAGAGATAGCACAGCGGGTAGGGTGTTTGCCTTGCACGCGGCTGACCCGGGTTCGATTCCCAGCATCCCATATGGTCCCCTGAGCACCGCCAAGGGTAATTCCTGAGCACAGAGCCAGGAGTAGCCCCTGTGCATCGCCGGGTGTGGCCCAAAAACCAAAAAAAAAAAAAAAAAAAAAGAGAGAGAGAGAGATGATAGGGTCCAGAAAATGGCTCAGCATTTAAAGCACTTGCCTGGCAAGAGTAAAGTCAGAGGTCCACAACCTGGAGTCGTAGGATGCGAACAGCTGTTGAGGGCAGAAAGGTTGTTAGAGATTCCCCCAAAAAAGTGTCCAGAAGGTGGGTCAGTGACTTAAGAAGTGCCATGAGCAAGAGCTTA